TATATTAAATTTGTAATAAAAAGATAAAATTACATATTTAAATTATTTTATTAATTAGTTTAACATAAGATAATTTAAAACTACATTAAATTAAAAATTATTGAAATTAATTATACTCATTTGCATAATTTAAGAATTATAATTATAATTAATTCATACTTATTATCTTTGAATTGTATTCGAAAAAAGTTTATTAGAATTGATAGTTATATAATGTTAAAAATGACAATGACAAAACTACTATGAATGATGTTTAATAAAAATAGAAAAAATAATATTGATTAAATTGTTCAAAAATATTTTTTAAAAAAATTGATTAAGTTCTCGAGTTACCTTTTAATTAAAAATAAAAATATATCTTTGTTTTAAGTTCTATTCAACATTTGAATGTTAATTATTATTTTATATTATATATATTATATATTATTAAATTAAATTTTCAATAAAAAGGCAAGTAAACTATAATACAGATGAAAAGAAAACTTTTATTATATTGATTTTCTATTTTTTGATTTTTAATATATCTCCAAGTAGGACTTCATCTTCACTTATATAAGTCATGTTTATACAACTTTTAAAAACTTGCTCACCCTTTTTTTTAAGTATCTCATCTCGAGTATCTCACAAACCAGACTTTAAAGAGTCAACGAGTATAGAAGAGAAAGTTTACTTTTATCTATTGAATGACTCATATACATATCAAGCATAAAAAAAAGATTATATTAAAGGCATACAATTGATAGGAAAGTGAGTAAGCTAACAATGTCCTTTTATAGTTGCTTTTATGTGAGCCAGTTAAAGTTTCAGTTAGAATTAAATACGATATTTTTTTCTAGGCACTTCTAATACAAGCAAATGCTCATTTTCTATAGGAGGTATAATAGACGATGTATAAGATGTGTTTTCCTACAAGATCTTTGAGTTGGAGTTTGTTTTAGTGACTCATTGTTCTTTCTATTATATTTCTTTTTTTGTATTTTGCAATCATGTCAGCTGTCAAGAATTATATGTTCACATAAGTATATGTGTGTTTGAGGTTGATGTTTTCTATTTTGTTTTACTAAATTGTATTATATATTTCAATTTAATTTTTTGTATAAGCATAAAGGTGTATTATTTTTAAATGATATCATATATTGAATTTTTTTAATTGATTAATTTGTATCAAAATTATCATTATTTTCTTGAATACATCAGAAGTAATTATTTACTTTTATATTTTTAATGCTTTTGTAGAGAATAACATGTTCCAATAAAGATAAATAGATCACGATTATGAGATACACTAAATATATATCGCAAAAAAGAGTTAATTAGTACTGATACGGTACTAATTGATGAAAAGGTATTAGTGTTTGTATTTTTTTGATTAAAAATTTATTATTTTTAAAAAATTATAATTGAGCTTAGATTTTTTATTTTATTGTATAATAATTAAATAACTTAATTTATTTTTAAATTTTTTAATTAATTAATTTTTTCTTTCTATAGAGCAATTATATATATGCTTTCATAGTACGGAGTATTTTTTATCAGTTCAAAGGTATATTAAAGGAAGAAAAAATATACTTCATAAAAAATTTTCAGTATTGCAATTCTATGCTATTAACTATTATTAAGGGTGATAACATAATTATTTACCATATCTTTGAGTTTGTGAACTTTGAAGATTTGAAAAGTCGCTATGAAAATAATGTTTTAACATGTATTTTGCTATAAAACTTTAATAAAATTGTTATATTATTTGTATTTATTTTATCAATTATTTTTCTAAATTTATTTATTTTATGAATAGATGTGATTTGAGTGGTCATGCACACAAGTTCTATTGAAGAAAAAATAATTGCTTAAGGCAAGATAAAATAAAGAGAAAATTAATGTATAAATTATAAATTTGTAATATATTGTTCAAATTTCTTAGATCATACAATAATTTATATTTGATATTTTTTATTAGGTCACAACTTAAGGAAGATGAAACAAAAAATGGTGAACAAAAGGTAACAATGAAATATTTAGAATATTGAACTATTTTTATTACAATATTGTATAAATACTATTAATATTGTGTAGAATTTGAAAAGTAAAATGTCATCAAATATTTCTATCTTTTAAAAAAAAATTTTGTTATCTTATTATTATTATTATTATATATATATTTTTTTTATTTTATTTTTATATATATTATGTATTGACTTTATTCTTAATATAAAATTTGTTTAAATTTTATATGTGACTCATAAATTTTATATTATATCAACATTTGTAATTCTAATTAATATAAAGATTAATTTTTATATTAAATAAAATTATTATTCTCTTTTAGCTTTTACTTAAATCTTAATTGAAAATTTTTTAACTACTCTTTTTTTCTCTATTTTTTATTATTTTAATTTTTTTTAAAAGTAATTTAATAAAAATTGACTTATAATTATGTATAACCTATTAATGTAGATAATATTTTATTTATATTTTATATTATAATAATTACGATGAAAAATTTAATTTTTTAAATTAGAAAATTAATAACATTTTTACTTAATGATTTTGTTGCAATTCTTTTTATAAAATGTTATAATAATGATGATAAATTCAAAACTCTTAAATTAAAACTAATTAATTATAATAATTGAAATAAAGTAAATATAATTAAATATCATAACAATAAAAATGAATGTAATTTGATATTTAAATCTTTAGGTAACCATTCATTTTGTATATTTAATAATTTTATATTGTAATGAATGAATGTGTAAAGAAAATGTAACGTTTTAACTCTAAATTAAGTTTAAATTTTAGATTTAATTTTTATATATATTATTTGTTTCAAAAGTTAACAAATATTTTTTTTTACGTACTTTTAAAATTTTATGATTATGAAGTTTAAATCTTCACAACTATCGAAAGACTTATAATTCAAGAAAGAAAGAAGTTAATGTTTAAAATATTACAAAAATATTCTTTATATTAACATATCAAATTATATTTATTTATTAGAATTCTATATTCTCACCATATGATTATTTAAAATTTTTATAATAATTACGATGACAATTTTAATTTTTTTAAATTAAAAAATTAACAATATTTTTACTTAATGATTTTGTTGATTTTTTTTTATAAAATGTTATAATGATGATAATAAATTCAAAATTTTCAAATTAAAACTAATTAATTATAATAATTGAAATAAATTAAATATTATTAAATATCATAACAATGAAAATGAATATTATTTGATATTTAAATCTTTAGGTAATTGTTTGTTTTGTATATTTAATAATTTTATATTGTAATGAATAAATATGTAAAAAAAAATGTAACGTTTTAACTCTAAATTAAGTTTAAATTTTAGATTTAATTTTTATATATATCATTTGTTTTAAAAGTTAACAAATATTTCTCTCTATGTACTTCTAAAATTTTATGAGTATGAAGTTTAAATCTTTATAACTATCGAAAGATTTATAATTTAAGAAAGATAAAGGTTAGTGTTTAAAATATTATAAAAATATTCTTTATATTGGCATATCAAATTATATTTATTTATTAGAATTCTATATTCTCATTATATGATTATTTAAAATTTTTAGATTAGAATACAAGTTCTAATGTTTCTGAAAAATTTTCTAAAAGTATTCAATTATAAACGCTGAGAACCATGCTTTCTAATGAAAAAATTCAGTTATTTGTGGACTTAAAGTTAATTCTTAGGATATAAGTCAAAATACAGCTATTATATGTAAAAATATTAATTCAATACAAATATTTTTTATTAATATAATTATTTATTATGTTATATTCTTAAAGTTATATATTTTTTAATTTTAAATAAATATTTGAATCAGGTTCACTAAATATTAATTTTTTATTTTTTTTAAAACTATGCGATATATCAAATATTAGATTATAAAAATAGACACATAGAACATATCTATTTTTTTAATGATAGTATAATATTTTAATGTATTTATATTAAAGTTATATTTATATTTTTTTAAATAATTACAGACCTAACAAATATTTTAATGACGGTATAATATATATATATATATATAAATTAAAATTTTATTTATTTATTTATTGGTTTTTTTAAGATGCAACACATTATTAAATATATTATTATCTTAATAAATATTATCTTAATTTTATTAATTCTATTATTATTACATTAACAAATAATTATTTAAAATTATTTCATATTTTAAAATTAATTTACTTCTTTATTTTAATTAGAGAATAATTATTAAAATTTATCCATGCATGTATTGGTATTAATATTATAAACTGTGATGATATTTACTTATTTATTTATTAATATAATTCAATTATACACTTATAGAGTTTATCATAACTAATTTTATAATTAATATTTTATCATACAAATCATAAATTAAAATTATGCTTACTTATTTATTAATAATTTTTTTAAAATTGTAGGTGATAAATCAAATCAAATAATTAAACAAGAACTTATGTATCCCGTAGAATTCTTAAATACTTTAATTTTTAATGGATTTCCTTTCTATTGCTTACAACTTAAAGAAAAAATGTCAATTATACTATTTAGGAACATCAATCCCATATTAAGAATGTGAAATAGAACAAAATTTTTTGTCAAGGACAACATCAAATTATGTTGAATTATATTTGGCAAAACCTATATTTAATTATGGTCAATTATATATTGCATTGTCTAAAATAATGTCAAACAAAAAAAATATAAATACTTATTATTAAAAAAGATAACAAATATATAATATATACAAAAAACATTATATATAAAAAATATTTATAATAAATTTTTTACCATATTTATATATTTATATATTTTTATATTTAAATTATATATTTTATATTTTAAAATAAATTAATTTAATAAAAATAAAAAAACTCATGCAACGCATGGCATATTTACTAGTAAATTAAATATGATTCTCTGGCTCCATTTAATTCAGACATTAATAAAGTAATTAATTAATAATATATTATCATTTTACCTTCGTTTAAGACCCGGATTCCGTGGAGAAGAGATCTGCACTCCTGTGGTGTCCACAAGGCAATCCTTGGAGGTGTTTGCATTAACCATGTTAGGTAAAACCACAGCAGAAGGCTTAATTTTTAAATAGGTGCCATTTATTCATAATTTTATAATACTTTAAAACAACGTTTAGATCTAGGAATGCGACTACGTTTACCGTTAAGCATGCTCAAGCGCACATGGAACGAGTAAGCTTTTATATATTAAAAATGTTTTAACTTTATTGAGACATTACAATGTATTTCTTTTTATCTTGTAAATTAAATAAAAATAGAGTAAAATATACTTCTCTCTCCTGAAATATAAATTAACACTGTCTTCACTTTTTATTATAAAATATATTATTTAGTTCATTTCACTTTATCTTGTTAAAAATATCTTTTAATATATATATATATATATATCCTTTATTTATATATCCTAATTTTTTAAATATTTTCGTGTTCTCTTTTTTTTCTTTAAATGTGATAAAATTGCAAGTCGTTTATATTTTGTATATTTTCATCAAAAATAATTTTTTATTATTTAGTATCAAGACAAACATTTAGAATTCTCATAAAAATGATAAATGTATATCATTTCACGAAAAACACATTGAGCTCGTTAAATTTTGACACATAAATTAAATATAAAATTTATTATAAAGATTATTTTAGTGAAAAAAAGTGTCAAAGAGATATTTAAAGAGTTTTTTTAAAGGAATAAAAATAAATAATTAATAATAATAAAATTTTATTAGAAAAAAAAATATTTATTATATTCTCACTTTTTCTTATTCGTTTTGTTATATAACGTATACAAATCAGATGGAGTGAAATATTGGAGCACACTTTCTCTCTTCTCACTCTGCTTTTCACCGTATGACTTAGTGTTTGTACATTATGTCTCTCTTACATCAAATGGAATGATTATGAGGAAGTAGAAGGAGTTTGACTTTAAGAAACCAGCCATGGAAATTAAAACTTCAGCCACTTTCATTCTCTATCTTACATCTTTGCTCATTATTTTGGTTTTGAATTCTGTGGCATCTATTGAAGAAGGTTTTGCTGAGGATCACACAGCCTCTCTTACACGAAGCAGCTTTCCAGAGGATTTCATTTTTGCTACATCATCCTCTGCATATCAGGTTTCAATTAATTACAAGCTTCTTGCACTTGAGTTGTGCTATGTATATGCATAAATATAATAAAAAATTGAGCCTTATTCTGATTCAAAATTTAAACTGTTAAATGGAAGATCATAAATTACTTTTATCTTGGGATTTTGGAATAAAGCATTGGGCTTATTCTAATACACAACAATCGATTTATAGTACGAAGGTGCAGTGAATGAAGGAGGCAGAGGGCCAAGTATTTGGGACGCTTACACTCAGAAATACCCGAGTAAGCCATCTATCTCTTCCACTTGGGAATATTTTGCCCAATGGCTAGCTTTGTAATTAGGTTATCTATTATTATTATTATTAAAATAAAAATTGTTTCACTTATCATAAAATGTAAAATATAATAATTTATGATTGTGTGAAAATGAAACTAAAGTGAAACTAAAAAATGAAAGTAAAGTGCTAGATCATATGGAGAAAAGGCAAAAGAAAGAGGAAATATACAAATATTATAACATCCAATACACCTAGATCTAGGCAAAAACTATTATAGGCTTTTTTACAGTAATATTTCATTTAATCTGTAGTTAACTTCAATCTTAATTAATCAGTACGATACACATGCTGAAACCATTAGCAAAATTGTGAATATGAAAACCTCTGTTAATTTGAAACTTAGCAAATAAAAACTAATTACACGATGGTTCCAGCATTGCTTACCAAATTAAAACGATTTTTAATGGCAATGGTTAATTTTTTGGTCTCCTCTTGAGAATCGAATGCAGAACTCAACATATGCCAATAGATTGAAAGTAAAAAAAGAAAAAGAACAGAAAAATATTTAACAGCAGAAATAATTTTAAACAGAGTCTCATTAAGAAATTTAAAAAATAACCTTTAAAAAAATGGTGATATAGTCTTCATTCATGAATATAAATTACTTAGTACGTAACAAATATTTCATTTTTATATTATTTTAAAATTCAGTTTTTTTAATATGTACCTTAGGACATGTTAAAAAGAATTAAAAATACTATTTTATATAGTTTAAATTGTTATAAAAAAATGTCTTTAAGATACCATATTTTTTCACTTTCAATAATAAAAAAAAAGTTTTTAACATGTGTAGTTGAACACATGTAAAAAAATCAATTAAAATTATATGTATGTGGAAAAGAGTTTGATTCTTACTTTGTGTAAAAAAGATCGAATTCATTGGATGAGATTTTCTTTGTTAATTTTTTTAAAATTTTGGAGATTAAAGTAATTACTTAAACTTTCGTTGTTATATTGTATTATTTTTTGTATAATCTATTTTTACATTTATAAAATCACCTTAATTGTTTCAAAAAAATTTAGAATTTACCTTTAAAGGTCTCATATTTTAAATTTATTGGTTATTGATATTTAAAATATAATTTAAGTAAACTCTATATTGGTTATTGATATTTAGTTTTTTAAATAATTTAACACACTAAAATTAGTTTTTTAAATAAATTATATTTTAAAATTATTTAATTTTATTAAATCATAATCATTATAAAATATAAAAATTTATTATTTAATTATTTTATGTATATATAGTTAAAATAAAATATCAGTGGATGGAATACTAAACTAGTTAAGATACTTTTTACTATTTATTTAAATTTATTCGAAATTATAAAATTACATAAATAAAATACAAATTTTTAAATGAGTTACTAAACTAGTTAAATTTTCGGTTGTAAAATTTTTAAATATTTTTATCATTTTATAAAATTTATGTAGAATTTAGCACTTATTTAATTAGTTCAGTTACTATTAATAAAATGTATTTAAATTTTACTAAAAAGTTAAAAAAAAATACTAGCATGATTATGTTGAAGCATATATATTGTTAAGTTTCTTGCAATACATATATTAACAGTGGCAAGAAACGATGAAAGAAAAAGCTAATGATTTGGATACACTCTACACAATTATAGAGCTTGCAGCAGCTCTGATTATATTGGGACAAGAGAAGGAAAATGAACTGGGAAATGAAAATATCCACACGTATTATTATGTTTTTATAAAATTTAACAATTTTTAAACTTGATTAAATAAATGTAAGTACTTGTAATACTTATAAATTTGAGAGGTATTTTGTCCCCATTTCAAGTTAATAGGCTTTTAAGTTAATAGTCTGTGATTCCTTAGAATTTTTCATAATATTTGTTATGGGTTACGATTAATTGTGATTTTTATTTTATTAAACAAAAGTTAATATTGTGATCCATTTGATGATGCTTAAGTTCATTAATAATGTGATCAATTATTTATAGGTTTTGAACTTTAATACTGATCTATGTAGAATAAAGTGTAGGCCTAACCTCTAGGTCCATGATGGGAAGTACTAGGATTAATAAATACGACTCTTTGCCGTCACAGAAACGCATTCCACTGCTCTCTAGGTTTGCCACATTGAGAATCTATGATTAGAAAAGCGTGATTAGATAAAGGAAGATCTTAACTTTTCACTCACGAAAGAATTCGCAATTAGTATTCTAAATTCATATAATTAGATTCAACTCAATTTATTCCTACATGTGATTCCTCTAGCATGTTAAAGATAAGAGAGATTTAACATTTTTTTTAACTAAATTATTAACTCTATTATTTATTAATTTAAAATTAATGATTAAGATAGTTCCATGTGTAAGAGAGTATATCAAACTCTATCAATTACAAAGATTACCTTAAATTTTAGAATAAATGTACCCTTGAACATTTTGGGTGCAAGTATCATGATCATGTAATTTTGTTTTTCTTCCCAATGAGCAGATAAAATAAAGGATCAGAGCAACGGGCAAATTGCTGTCGATTCATACCACCGTTTCAAGGTATATGGTTCCATTCTTCCAGACGTAAATATTTTTTTAGGGTTTGATTAACCTTAGCTTTTAAGATTAAATTTTAAGCATTTAAAATGAGTAAATTTTTATTTTAAAAATTAATTATTTCATTATAAGTGGTTCTTTAAAATAGAAAACGCACATTAATCTTCTCTCTTCTGTTTGAGTTATAATTTTAAGCAACGCGGTTGGATGTTACAACTGAAAATCCTTTTTGTTTTGTTTTGTTAAGGAGGATGTGCAGATAATGAAGGACATAGGGTTTGACGCTTATAGATTCTCCATCTCATGGTCTAGGCTACTGCCAGGTGAGGGAAAAACATTATCAACAATCACAAATAAATTGTAAGGAATTATAATTTGTAATTTTGTATCAGGTGGAAACTTATCTAGTGGAATAAACACTCAAGCCATCCTATATTACAACAACCTTATCAATGAACTTATATCCAAAGGTTTGAATTTGATATCCTGGTTTTTTTTTTTCTTCTTCGTCTGACTATATATATATATAGAGAGAGTTTAGATAAATTTCTAGATAAATATTTACAGGAAAAATAAATAAAACTTCTCTTATTTGTAAAGAATTAACTTTTACATTTCAATTTTTTTAGAAATTAGATGAGAAAACTTCTAGAAAAGTAAAACAAAATAATTTTCTTTAATTTATTTTATAGGATATCCTTAATTTTCTAGCTTAATTTTAATCATGTGGTTAATTTGAATAGGCAAATATTAATGTGTACGGAATTTATTTTTGACATGGGTTTAATTGGCCATACTTTCTTAAAGAATGTTACTAAAATGTAGATACTTTCTTTTTCTTCTAAAATGTAAGATTTTGTTTCAGTATTGTACACTACTCTGAAACTTGTTTTGAAATTGGGAAGTACCTATATTCTCTTTAATCAATTAAAAATCAAATCAACATATGAATAAAAATTCATATGATTTTATGGTGTTTGGACTCTTTGTTTCTCCCGAAAAGAAAAATACTTGTGTTGTTTCAACAGGTTTGAAGCCTTTTGTCACTCTTGTTCATTACGATCATCCCCAGAGCTTAGTAGATGCATATGGTGGCTTTTTGAGTCACAAAATAGTGTAAGTGATTCCTGCGACGACATTAATCATCGAAACAATTAGTCCTCCATTTCATAAAGAGTAATCTTATTTTTACGTATTAATTTTATACATTATTTTCAACACAATAAAGAGATAAAAAGAAAAAAAAATCATGTAATAAGATGCATAACGTAACAAAGAGATACAAAAAAAGTAAGTATATAAAAAATTATAAAAAGTTATTGTACGAATAATATTTCTGTTTTTCAAAACAAAAACAAATGATCGTTTGACATTGATATATTATCAGGAAGGATTTTGCAGACTATGCAGAGGTGTGTTTCAAGGCATTTGGGGATAGAGTAAAGTATTGGATCACAATAAATGGCCCATCCATTTTCTCTCTACAAGGTTATGCAAATGGGAAATTTGCTCCAGGAAGATGTTCAAAATGGTTGTCATTCAATTGTACAGGTGGTGATTCTGCTACTGAGCCCTACCTTGTCTCCCACCATCAACTTCTTGCCCATGCTGCTGCTGTCAAAGTTTATAGGGAAAAGTACCAGGTTAATTACTACTAATTAGTTAAATTGTGCATGTTTTTATCAACTTATTACACACATAAAAAAAAAAAATTGAAAATCTTTCCGATTATTCTGATAACAAACCTTCGTGAAAACCAAATATACATCAATCCAATTCCAAACACATATATTAGTAGAAAAATGAATACTTTTACTTAAACTTATTCTTGTTAGTATAGTCTTTGTATTTAGAAATTAAACATTGATAAAAAGATATTATCTGTCTATATTAATAATATACATCACGCTAAATTACTAATAATATGGTAAATAGGACATTTTCTATTTTATAGTGTTATTCTCATCCTAGAGTGGATACAATTTTAATTTTCATGCTCTTTAACTATCGCTCATTCTAATTTGGGTAATTCCTTCCAGAATACACAAAAGGGACAAATTGGATTAGTTCAGGCCATTGATTGGGTTATACCATTGTCCCAATCCCTGGCAGACATTGATGCAACATCTAGAGCCAATGTTTTCAAAATGGATTGGTAACTAATAAAACCCAAAATAACTCGCTTTTTTTGGTTGAAAGAAAATATGGATGCAATATAATGTTCTTAGCATCATTATTTATTTAGTTTTAAGTATAAATTTCACTGTTTTATTTCCAAGGACTATGGAACCACTAAACTCGGGTTCTTACCCTATCGAAATGGTTGACTCCGTGGGAGAAAGACTGCCAAAGTTTTCTAAAGAGGAATCAGATATGGTGAAAAATTCTTTTGATTTTATTGGCATCAATTATTACTCTACGTCCTATGCAACTGATGCTGAATGCCCAAATGAAAGGAAATCCTATGAAACAGACTTTTGTGCTGAGCTCACATGTAAGCCATCATGAAATTGAAATTCTGGCTTCTAATAATGTGCTTTCTTTTTACCTCTTTTAACCTTGTTGATATTAATCAATGGCTTATATTTTCATATATAAATGATGTATCAGATGAACGAGATGGGGTTCCCATTGGTCCTAAGGTAAGAACAAAAAATTAATGTGCACGAAATTCTACAACTCAGTACAATCAACAGATTTATTGAGAATGGATTTTTCTCTATGCTCACAATTTTTAATAAGATTTGATCACATATTTTTGTCAATGAAGATAAAGATAAATACAAAATTTTGACATGATACGGTGATGTGAAATTTTGACACTAGAGATCCATTTCTGAATTTCTTACCATGGGTTTTTTTCTCGATGGTGTCTACACTTGTAACTATAGAGACTAGAAAATTTCATCCATTAATTTATCAAAGCACGACTTACATAGATACTTCGCAGACTGCCTCAGACTGGATATACATCTATCCACAAGGAATTGAACAAGTGTTGCTCTACATCAAGAACAAATTCAACAATCCGGTCATATACATAACAGAGAATGGTATTTCAAATTTATATAATTTTTCCTCATTTACTATGATGTGGTAAATTGGTCTGTTCATTATATAATTTGTAGGTTACGACGATTTTAACGATGGAAAAGGATCACTCAGAGACCAAGAGAGAATAGAGTGCCATATTCAGCATCTTTCTTATGTTCGTAGGGCTATGTTGTAAGTATATGTGTCAGTTCTATTACAATTCTATCAGACAATAATTGATATATGTGGCATTTTATATTTTACTTATTTTAACTACATTTTCTTATATACGTTTTTAAAAGCACAAACTCTAAAATCAGAAAAAAACTTTTTGTTGTTTCATGTTGATCCTCTCAAAACATTTTCCTATATATAATTCATCTAATCAAGGCAGAGGTTTACTAATCTCATACTGGTTTTAACATGTGAGCTTTGAATTTGGTAGGAATGGAGTTGATGTGAGAGGATACTTTGCATGGTCACTTTTGGACAATTTCGAATGGTCAGATGGTTACAGTGTTCGATTTGGGATTGTTTACGTTAATTTTACAGATGGATTGAAGAGATATCCAAAAGATTCAGCTAAATGGTTTAAGAGGTTTCTCCATCAAGAATTTGAGTCCCAATGAACATGTTGATCAATGGAAACGGCAGTTTGTGATTAGCATTTAAATAAGTGTCCCTTCGTTTTAAATGTAAAGAAAAAACATTATAAATGAACTGAACACTTCAGTGTGCCACGTTTTCTTTTAGATTTGCAAAGTCGCAAGGGCAAAAGAAAATGTGAAGTGTCTAAAGTGTTGTATCAATATCTATCTCTCAGTGTATTTGTCTACGTATGTGTTAGTAGAAAATAAATTACTGCATGTTTTCAACTCATAAAGTAATTCAGCTTTTCAAAGGTAGCATAACACCTTCGAGTATTTAAATCTACTTTATCTAAGTTTGAAAAAAAAAATTGTATAGACCATGTGTATCTTTTACTAGAAACAATTTTGTCCAAGCCAAGTAAAACTATTAAGGGCTACAAAGTCCTCCATTTGAGTACTTAATACATTTGTATTTACTAGAACTCAAACTCAAAACTATAAGTTAAGCTTAATGTTTCAAGTTTATAACTCAAATTATATAAGGACTATATAAATTATTAATATTTTATTGATTAAATGATGAGATAACAAAGATTTTAAGTTAAAAAAGATTAAAAAAATTACAAAGATAAATAGCTAGAATTTGCAATTTGAGATTCTAATACCTATATATCGATGTTCTAACACTCATCCATAAAAGCACACTACAAAAAAATCACTTTTATGGCAGTTAAATTTTATGATTAACGGCGGTTTTAACTGCATTTAAGTATTTGTCTGGTAGTTATAAAATCGATGTTGAAATTGGCTACACAAAGCTAAATTTGTGGTTGTTTTGAATTGCCGCTAAATTTTTAACTTTGCGGCAGTTATTTAGTGGTAGTTTTGAACTGCCACTAAAATTTGAAATTACTGGGCGCAGTTGTGCTCTACTTTTGGCGTTGCAATGCTTTGCTTTTTGCTTCCACACTTTTTTTTGTTCTTATTTTCTACGTAGTTCTTTCTTTTGCTATTTGGTTCACGTTCCATTTATTTTTTAATATCACAATATATATATATATTATATAATTTATAGTGTAGAGTCGTTAGAGAAGAGTCATTTTTGGAGGAAGTGAAAAAGATAGTAAAAGATTATCGAGGTTGTCACAGTTAGAGAAGACACTTTGACAGTGGTGATGGTGGTAGCAGTGGCAGTGGCAGAAAGAATGGTGGAACTCAATAAGGTCAAATTAGAGATGAATGGTAGCTTTGAGTGGGTGATAGATAACAGGGGAGAGTGATATTTCTTATACTCTATTATCTTAAACTGATGTTAAATCTTGCAATTTTTTGCAGCGATTATGCAAAATTATCGCTAAATCCCGTATTTTTTGTGGCGGTTATGTAAAATCGGCACTAGATCTCGCATGTTTACGGCGGTTATGTAAAATTACCGCTAAATCCTGCATTTTTTGTGAAGGTTACTAAAATTGACGTTAAATGTTATTTTTAAAATGTTTTAGTGGCCATTATCGCTAACTGCAACTAATGAACCTACTATAAGTGGCGCATTTCTTGTAGTGACAACATAATGTTGAAAGCATCTGGTTGTTCCAACACTCCATAAAGTCCTTCCAACACTAGCAGATAGAAAGTTCCAATAAACTTTTGACTCATGAGCATTTCAACACGTAGTTTTAGGCATTGAAACACTTAAGAGTTTGAGCTACTGTCGCAACAGTACAGCGAAGAACATTTTCAAACATGTCAAAGGAGTCGCCACCAAAGTTTATTTTAAGAAAACATTGGAATTTTTTTTAAAATAATATGATCTTTGAAACAAAAAATGAGTTCGGGAGTTATTTACGTGTGGGGAAGGTATTAGCACCCCACAACGTCCGTTTAAAACGATTACCTAAAATTAATTGTGCAAATTTATTTAAATTTTAAAAAATATTTATTTAATCCCTAAACATGAATTATTTTTATTTTAGAAGAAGAAATATTATTAATTGAAATATTATTTTGAATATTATTTTTGTCTTGACGGGTCTGGTTCCCGCTCCTACGTATCCCCGGGTGCAATAGGAACTTAAAGTCACGTAGTTCTATCTAAAAAGTATGAAATTAATTGATTAAAATTATATTTAGTAAAAGAAAATTTATTTTAAAATTAAAATTATTTTGTAAAATCATAATATTTAGAATACAAGATAACGCAGTTATACATGTACCCTAGGAGAAACAATACAGAAAGTGAAGGAAGATCACATAACTATATTGCAAATCATTAAAAATATTTTATTCATAAATCAAGTATTTGAATTTGAATTTTGATTATAATTAATGTTGAAAGAGAATTTAAGATATCGTAAGCTATACATAAATCTCTTATAATTTATTGAATAATCGAAGGCAATGTAAATTATACATCGATGTTAAAAAAATTTGTATAAAAAAGAAATGTTTAACTATTCAATTTATCTAAAAAGAAGTATGACTTAAGAAATTTTGAAACATGAAATTAATCCTATTTGATGGAAGGAGTAAATATATTTGAATTGTTAAAAAAATAAAATATTTAAATAAAAGATTTAAACTTAGTTGGATAAATTTATGTTGTATAAAACCCAAGGTAACGTTGATACACATAAGTTTTAATAATTCATAATGCGTAAAGGTAGAGTCGCTACATATTAGCATTATAAATTATTGTGTTAATAAAAATTCTATTTAAATTGATTGATTAGTAAAATAGCAATTATAAGGAATATATTTGATTGATTATTAAGATAATTAAATTTTAGTAGCATATGATAAATTAATATTGCTTAAAACTTCAGTAACGTAGGTACACATAAACACTATCAATTTATAACATACGACGGTAGAGAAGTTACACGCTAATATTATAAATTAATGCAAACATGTATTATTATTTACTTATTAACTTGAGAACATTATTCATTTATCACCAAATATTATACAATACAATGAATAATAATAATGTCAAATAAAAGATTAAAATGCAAAAATGATAAATAGTAAAATAAATAAATAAAGTAATACATATATATATATATATATACTAATATTAAGTCAATTACAATCATTATTTATTATTATTCTAGTTAAGATTACTTAAAAAAAAACAACAAATGAGGTAAACAATAAAATATTACATTTGATATAAGATGAATGAATATGAGCAAAATGAAATGTGATTTTGAAACTTGGGGCATTGTGCATTGCGGTGGTGTTAGATGAATAAAGGGAAAAGCTGCAACTTCCTGTTGCCGGTTCATTATTTTTTTTATTTTTTTGGGAGAATAGTTCTATTCCGACTAACACTAGTTGAAGTTATATTGCTGTTCTATAAATTTGGTTCCGTTTTTTATGTTTTCTAAGTAAACCTGATGGTAGGAAAGACTAAACAATTGTTGTTATTATTTAAAGCACAAATGTTTCATCCAAAAAAAAAAAAAAGTAACGTATAAAAACATTTGATGTGATTTGATATCAAGATTGCATGGCGCATGGGCGCATGGGCTATTGTATGAGTAGGTGAGGTGAAATAATGTCGACATCGAGCCTCACGCTTGCTTTATCTTTTTTCATTTTTTTTTACGTATGTTATAAATTTTTTTTAAGTAAATAAACGAACAAAGTAAAGAAACAAGTGTATAACTACATTAAATATCTCTCTTCACTTCGCTTTTCGCATCCACACACAGAACAATTAAACTTTGCAGCGACAGATAGATGAGTCTTATGCTAAGAGAAGGTAAACTTGGTCCAGCAACACGAGATAGCAAAATGGCAGAAATGACGTTTCTCTTCTTCTCTGATTTCTTCTTCTATTTCAAATCTTACGCTTCTAAAATTTTTTGCTCCTTCTCCGAAAACTAGTTGTCGCCTCCTTGCTCTTCCTCCGAAAAGCTCTTCTCCGAAAAATCCTTAAATCCTTAACAGAGATTTGTTGCCTCTCCTCTGAAAATGTTTGAAAATTTTATCTTTTCTTGCTAAAATTTTTTTGGCTTTCTTTCTCCCCCTTCTTAAAAAACCCCCGCCTGGATTTTTTACTTCTCATTTTATACTGGTACGTTTAGGGTTTTTGCAAAATGCCAAAAGTTCTAAGTATTTTCATATTCATGCTTAAGACTGGTTTTTGATACTGGGTATGAGCCTGCATAGCATAAGACTTTCACTTCTGGAACCAAACTCTTTTTCTCAAAAAAATTTTTTGTAAAACAATTTTATTATTATTTTTTTAAAATTTTGGAGGCAATATGGAGAAGGAAAAAATCGGTATTCACAGCTACCAACCTTGCATATGCATTCCAACACCTAATATTAGATGTTGTAACACTGAAATTATCCTAAAAAGTTGTTTGAAGACTTATAAGCATTCTAATACCTATTACAGTGTCTCAATGCGTAAAAAGATTACAAACTCTTTAAATAGATGTCTTGGGGGCAATTTTTTAATATAGATTCATTTTTTCAGTTTCTAATTTTTTTATTTTAAACTAAGGAAGTGTCTTTCTCTCTTCTTTTTTTTTATTCTAGTGGTATGAAAGATTTCTTTGTGTCTTTCCAAATTATCGATAGAACTTTATTATATTATTTATTTTGTTTTTCTATTTTCTATAAATATATGTGGCTAATTTTTTTTAGAATAAGATAGCATGAACTTTTGTTTGTCTTTCTTATATTAACAATAAAATTATAGTATTTTTTACTTCTCGTGCAATTTGATTGTATTACAATGAGTTTAATGCTTTTCTAGTTTAGCCAACCAGGATTGTTGTATAACTTGATTTAATAATTAACAAATTAGCTTTTAAGTCTAAATTGAGTAATTCAACGATAATTATAATGCATGTTTTGATTTTATTTACCTAAGACATTAGGGAATTTTGGTTAATTCATAGGGAGTCTCCAATCAACACATTGAAATTCATTCTAAATCAATGAACTCAACCTTCAACTTGAGCATAAAATAGATATGACAACTTTTTGCATAAGAGAAATAAATAAAAAGGGATTCTAATCCTAAT